GAGGGCCCTGGAAAGGCACCTTATTTAGTAAACAAGCCATGAACAACAGAGCCAGTGAAAGAAGAAAAAGACAAAAATAAAATAAAAAGCAAAAAGATCTGGCTGACAGACAGGTTTGCTGGCAAAGAACATTGGAGCTGGGCGTGCCTACAGGTAGGTCACATGACCAAAACGGGTGTGAACTGCTGTGTGGGTGCTGGGAATTGGACCTGGGTCCTCTGGAAGAGCAGGCAGTGCTCCTAACCATCGAGCCATCTCTCCATCTCCATGGAATTTTTAAAATTAAATTTTTTTTTTTTTGAGACAGGGTTTCTCTGTGGCTTTGGAGGCTGTCCTGGAACTAGCTCTTGTAGACCAGGCTGGTCTTAAACTCACAGAGATCCACCTGCCTCTGCCTCCCGACTGCTGGGATTAAAGGCATGTGCCACCAATGCCCAGCTGAGACCCTGTTTCAAAACCCCCTGTGATCTGGTCAGTTATGTTTACTAATTTTCAGAATTTTGTGTTTTGTTTAATGTTTTTTTTTGTCCGTTCTGTGAAGCATTTTAAACTTCCAAATATTAAGCATTTCTAGAATGACTTTTATAGAATACTTGTTAATGCTATATTGAAAACATAGGAGTACTCTGAAACAGATGTTTTGAAGTAAATTTATGGATAGCTTGCAGAAAACCTGTGACAAGACTAACCAGTAATGCTAATGCCTGAGCACACACCATGTGTGCTTAGCCTTTTCTATTCATTATTTAGCTATAAAGTTGTAAATACTTTATTTCATACTTATAGGAATTAAAGATTGAAAGAGATTAACTTACCTAATCTTTCATTAAAGAGATTAATTTACCTAATCTTTCTTTTAAGGAGTGAACCTAATATACATATATATATATATTACAGTGTATTTTTCAGATTTTAAAAGATGTGAATGAGTCCCAGGATGCTAAATAAAAACTTAGTTTAAATAATGTTTGAAATCAGCCGGTAGTGCACACCTTTAGTCCCAGCACTCAGTAGAGGTAGGTGGATTTCTGTGAGTTGAGGCTAGCCTGCTCTATAGAACTAGTTCCAGGACAGTCAAGGCTATACAGAAGAAACCCTATCTCACAAAAAACAAAAAAGTTTGAAATCCTAAGGCAAAGAATGTACTTTGAGCAGCTTTACCTTAGGGTATTTTTTTTTTTTAATTTTGTTTTGAGACAGGTGTAATTGAATAGCTCTGCTTAATCTAGAACTTGCTTTATAGACTGAGCTGGCCTTGAACTTGCTGAAATGCTCTTGTCCCTGCCTCCTGAGTGCTGGGACAAGAGACTGGGTTTATAGATTGTGATACCATGCCTAGATCAATGATATGTCTGTCTGTCTATCTACCTATCTAATCTATCTTGTCCTAGATCAATGATCTGTCTAACTACCTACCTGCTTACCTACCTATTTCAAGATAGTCCAGGCTGACCCTCACTTGTATGTACTTGTGCCTCCCAAATGTTGTGATTAAAACTTGTGTCACTAAGCTTGATGAACATTTTCTTTAATCACTGTTTTTTCTCCAGTCTTATACATAAAAAAAGGTCTAAGATATTTTTTTTTAAAGTTTCAGTCCTTTTTTTTTAAAGATTTTATTTATCAAGTATACAATCTTCTGCCGGCTTGCCAGCAGAGGGCACAAGATCCCATTCAAGGTGGTTGTGAGCCACCATGTGGTTGCTGGGAATTGAACTCAGGACCTCTGGAAGAACAGTCAGTGCTCTTAACCGATGAGCCATCTCTCCAGCCCAGGTTCTAAGATATTTATGGATTTGATTTAATTAAACTAACATTTTTTTTTTTTTTTTTGAGACAGGGCTTCTCTGTGTAGCCCTGGCTGTCCTGGAATTCACTCTGTAGGCTGGCCTTGAACTCTGGCCTGTCTCTGCTTCCCAAGTGCTGGGATTAACTTCGCTGCTGCCACCACCACCAGCAGCAGGCATGAGTTTATATTTAAAGACATAACATGAATTAAATAGATCATGAGGCAACTTATTCTCTGTTTACAATTGGAGTCTTTAATAGGCAACATTGGTTGAAGTAAAGGGAAGGTTGGCATTTTAAAATTTGATACTTGAGTTTTAAAGGCAAAGGCATTTGTTAGTGTAGTCAACAAAACACAGGCTTTGAGGTCTGTAATTCAGTCAAATTCTGGGTGAAATTTTTTTATAGTCTGTGACTGTGTACCCTAAAAACCACAAACACCTTTTTTGTTCCCAACATGTCTGTCTCCCAGATTCTTAAGTATCAAGCTGTTAGAATTTGGGGTCTCCATCAGATTTTCTTAGTTTCATATTCTGTGTACTCTACATCCCAAACAAATATGTGGATGTTGTTGAGTATAATTTGACACCAAATTCTAGATATACCCCCCTTTGCTACCATCTTGCCTAGATAACTATTATGTTTAAATTTGAACTTTTCTAGGTTATTGTCCTCTACACAGCAGCCATCTTAAAATGTAGATAATTATGACTCTCCTCTAAACCTCTAGGAATTTCCCAGTGGAGTTAGAGTCAGGGTTGGTGGAATGGCTGTTCTGTATAGTGCTTGCTTGGTATGCTTTTCTTGGACCTTAAAATATCATGATTTGGAGTGAAGAGGCTTGGCAGTTGAGTCTATGAATACACAGATAAAATTAGCTGTTTGGAAATGTTTAGGCCAAATGTTAGCAAAAATTTCTAGCGGTGAAATCAGTGATAATGACTTAAGTCAGAATCAAGTTTTATTTGTAATTTGTAGTACATGCATATATGAGTATGGTTGTGCATGCCTGTGTGTAATGGGTGTGGTTTGTGGTTGACATTGGGTGTCTTTGTCTGTTGCTCACGATTTTATATTATTTTCTAAGATAGGGTATCTCACTGAATTTAAGAGTTCACCAGTTCTCTAGGTTGACTTGGAAGTGATCTCCTGAAGCTCCTGTCTGCCTCCTAGCCCTCAGATGACAGGTGTGCATCACTGCCATACTAGCTTTTTATGCGGGTGCTGGAATCCAACCTCAAGGAAAGTGCTAAACCAGCAAGGACTTCAAACTCTCCTACCACCCTAGCATTAGGATGAAGTTTTCACAGAAACTGATTTAGAAAGTTAACTTTTTCTCAAACTTTAGAAATACAGTTTTGTGCCAAAGCCCACTTGGGTTTTTGGTTTCACTGCTTTCTGAATCTTCCCACTTGGAGAGCAAAGCCTATTTATGGGATGATATTATTGATTGACACATTTAATTGTATTATTTCTTTGTAAAAATAATGTATTTTTAAATTTGATCATTATGTAGTAAGATTCATAGATTTTTATTTTAGTATATATTGTCTCAAATTTATGTGCTGGCCTTTTTTTTTGTTTGTTTGTTTTTTTTTTTTTTTTTTGGTTTTTCGAGACAGGGTTTCTCTGTGGCTTTGGAGGCTGTCCTGAAACTAGCTCTTGTAGACCAGGCTGGTCTCGAACTCACAGAGATCCGCCTGCCTCTGCCTCCCGAGTGCTGGGATTAAAGTAGTGTACCACCAACGCCCTGCATGTGCTGGCCTCTTAAAAACAGTTATATATTCTTTAGTTTACTTTATGTTCTGGTGTGGGTGTTGGTACAGGCCTTTAATTCCAACACTTTGGAGGCAGAGGCAGGCAGGTCTCTGAGTTCAAGGCCAGCCTGGTCTACACAGTGGGTCCAGGATGGCCAGGGTTACAAAGAGAAACTCTACCTTCAAAACCCAAAATCAAACAACCAATCCCTCTCCCCCCAAAAAGAAAGAATCTGAGCAGTTTTTTGTTCTGGTGGTTTTGGACTTGCACATTTAACTGATAATTTCTGAATGCTATTCACAAAGTTGTAACCTTTCAGTATTGATAAGTAATGCATATCATTAAATTTACTTACATAGTAATGGCCAATTAGCTTAGGAGTATTGATTCCCTATAGATTTGTGTCATTGCTTCTTAGATGGTTAGTCTGATACTTGTATAAGAATGTTTTTGGCATAAGTTACTGTGGTTGCAGTTGAAGGAATTTTTAGTTTTAAGAAGATAAGCAGAGCTGGACTGTGGTGGCTCACGCCATTAATCCCAGCACTCAGGATGCAGAGGCAGGTGGATCTCTGAGTCCCAGGACAGCCAACGCTACACAGAGAAACCCTATCTTGAAGATCAAAAAAAAAAAAAAAAAAATTGAGCAGAGCATCAAGCTGTTGTAGATGATAGAAAATACAGCATTATGAATATTGACTATAGGCTACTTACATGCTAAGATGTTTTCATAATGCAAAATGATTTTGAGATCTTTCTGATGCAATGACCTTTTTTCCCTAAAGGACAGCTACAATTAGAAATCAGGTATCAGTTACATGATACTTTGCTGCATTGTGTAGAAAGTTTTGTTTTTGATAGTTGTGCAGGATTTCATGTAGTTTAGGAGCTTGGAACTCACAGTGTGACTGCGAATGGACTTAAACTGATTCTCTTGCCTTCTTGCCCTAATTTGTGGGTTATATGTGTTACTGTTGTTTCATGTTTTGTCCACATGTAGGTCTGCACCAGATTTGTGCTTGGTGCTTTTGGAGGCTGGAAGAGGGTGTCACACCTCTTGAAACTGGTGGTTGTGAACCACCATGTGGGTTCTGAGAATTGAACAGTTCTCTGGTATAGCAGCCAGTGTTCTTAACTAATGAGCTGTTGCTCCATAGCTCAGGGTAACCTCAAAATCGCCATTCTCCTGCTTAGATTTGCAAGTGCTAGGATTATTTCCCATCATGATCAGCTTAGTTAAATTGTTATAATAAAAGTTTACTGTTTCCTAAGTCAGGCAAGGTGCATGCCTGTAATTTCAGTGCTTAAGAGGCCAGAGTGGATGTTTGGGCTACACAATTTATTGCTACTCCTAATACATGTATTATAAGCAGTGCATGTCTAGTTTACCATAAACTTACTCTTTTGCTAGGAATTTGAATTTAGACTTTAATTTCTCATCACATTCTCTACAGAAAGAATCTTGGCAGTAGCTTAAAGACATCACTGACTTCTGGATCCTGCATAAAGCCCAAGGTAAATGACATTCATGTTCTATAGGTTTTACTTTTGACTTGAAAAAATTGGCTGCCAACATGAATCACATGAAGTGATTGTTGTAAACTGGCTTTCGAGATACAGCTCAAGAAAGAAGTAGTGTACTTGCCTAACATGGCAAATCCCTAGTGCTACCAAACAAAGCTTGTTAGTTTTAGGAAATTTTGTTTTCATTTTTCCATTGTATGTTACCTTTTTCTACTTCTATAAATGCGGTTTTCCAAGACTTAGGACACAAAATGCCATTTAAACACAAAAGGAAAGCACCACCCACCTTGGGTTTTGAGACAGTCTTGTTCTGTAGCCCTGACAGATAACCCAGTGTTGAGTGAAACTCCTTTCTTGAAACAGGGTCTTTCCTTCCCTCCCTCCTTTCCCATCCTAGCTGGCCTAGAACTCACTATGTAGACCACGCTAGCCTTGAATTCACAGGAAGGATCCACCTGTCTTTGCCTATCAAGGATTGGGTTAAAGGCCTGTGTCATCATGTTTGGCTCAACTTACTGTCTTCTGTAATGTACTCTAGTACTGTTTTATAATAACAACAAAGTCTTAAAATCAGTCCCCTCAAAATTATTTAATGAGAGTTAAGATTTAAATATACAAGAATTGCATGCTTTTACAAGATTAGAAAATTCAGTTTTATGGACATGATTACTTACTTTGAATAATAAGTTAGAGATTTGTAAAGTTACACAATTGAACCTTGACTAACATTGAACTCGTGGTTGGTGAGATGGTTTAACAGTAAAAACACTTGGTGTGCTGGGATTAAAGGCATGAGCCACCAATGTCTGGCTTAAAAATACATTCCTCTTTGAGAGGACATGCATTCAATTTCCAGCACCCACTACCTGTAACTCTAGTTTTCAAAGACTTGACACCTTTGAGATGTCTTGACACCTTTGACACCATGCCTTAATGGGTACTAGGCATGCTTGTGACCACATATGAAGGCAAATCATCCATATACATAAAACAAATTTAAATAAATGAGCTTGGTTTTCCATTTTCCTCTAGGTGCTGGGAAACAAACCCAGTGCCTTGTACGTGCTGAGCAATTATGTGCTTAGTTCTTTTATTTTCCTCTAAGGATTGAACTAGAACCTAATGCTTGCCAAGCATGTACTCTACTGCAGACCTGTTTGTATCACTAACCCTCTTTTTTTTTTTTTTCTTTCTCTGTTTTTGGGCTTACTAAGAGCTCAGGCTGGTCTTGCATTCACATTATCTTGGTTAGGCTCTGAACTTGATACTTTTGCTTCAGCCTTCTAAGTAGCTAAGAGTGTAGGTCTGCCACCTGGGCTAGTAGCTACATAGATAGTTTAAAAATTTTGTAGTAGTTTGAAAAAGTGTGTAGACCATATAGCTTAGAAATAATTAAAAAAATTTAAAAAGTCACTTGCATGTAATTGCTTAGATAAATTTTTATATCATAAAATATATGCAAGTTAAGATTTATGAACACAATGCATGGGTTCATTTGATTTTGAGAAATATAAAGAAATATAGCCTGGCCTAATGGTTGTGGTGTTGCACACTTTTAAAGCCCAACAATCAGGAGGCAGAAGTAGGCATATCTCTGAGTTCGAGGCTAGCCTGGTGTAGGAGTGAGTTCCAGGACAGCCAAAGTAACACAGAAAAACCCTGTTTCAAACACACATACACACACACATACATACATACATACATACATACATACACACACACACACACACACACACACACACACACACACACACAGGTGTAGCATTAGATAGTGATTTCATTAACTCCTAATACATACTATAATGATTTCATAACTAGTTTCTGTTGCTGTTGTTAGCTCAAGTGTAGTGAGTAGCAATTTAACAATGTAGATGTCTTCATGTGAGCAGTTTTTCTTCAATAAATTTTCTGTTGTGTTTTGTGCAGCATGCAACATATACCTATGTAATGTGCCAATTTTGTTATAGTATAAGGCTTTTGGTCAACAGTATTTAAGGTTTGGAACAGTCAGTTTGGTTGTATGTGGAAGTTTGACTGCCTGGGGGTTAGTGTCCAGGATGTCTATTGTTTAGGGTTAAACTTAACATGGCAAAAAATAGGTTTAAAAGGCTAAGACTATATTTGTGTGTGTGTGCACTCATGTGTGTTTTCCTTCTGAATCAGTGAAAAAAATGTGGCATTTGTTATGTACATGCACTGATTTAACATTTTTTATTTTTGAGGAAAAGCACATTTTTATAGATCAGTAATATCTCTGATTTCTGTATCTAGTGAGGTCTGATTATATCAGTATCTAGAAAAACTAGGATTCTGAAGCCCAACTCCCTCTCCCCCAGGGTTTCAGTATAATAGCCCTAAGCTGTTCTATTTGTAGACCAGGCTGGTCTTGAACTTAGAGATCTGACTGCCTCTACTGGGATTAACAGTATGAGTCACTATGCCTGGCTTTTTTTTGTTTTTGTTTTATTTTGTTTATTTATTTTTTTCTCTGTTATGGTCCTAGCTGTGCTGAAACTCACTCTGGGGCCCTGATTGTCCTGGGATTCACAAAGATCCATCTGCCTCTCTCTCCCAAGTGCTGGGATTAAAGGCATGGGCCACCACCACCAAAAAGAAAGAGAAAAAAGAAACACAAAACACTACCACAAAAACACAAATCAAAATAAATAAGCAAAAGTCTATTAAGACAAAACAAAAAAAAGTAGCCAGACAAAGCAAAATGAGACAAAAAGTCTGTACTGTAGACTCTACGGAAATGTTCTTGTTCATTTTGTGTTGGTCAGGTTTTCTCTGGGTATGGGGCATACCCTGAAGTGTGGTTAATAAACCCACTGGGACTCCTTTGGAGAACATTGATTTTCCTTTCCTAGGCGTTTGCAGATAGCTTCTTGGTTAGGTTTACAACTCCCCCCGTAGTGCTGGGCCCCCACCTCTAGTCTGTATTGTGACATTAGTATGTTCTATTTTCAGGTTTCTTTTCTGCAATACTTATATAATTTTATCTTTTTGCAGGTGAGCTAGGTATATTGGGTATGGAAAAACATCTAACAACTTTTGACTGATACTGTACTGCTCTTTCTGACTTCTGTAGTTGGTGGCTTTGCATTGAGGCACATAGGTGTTCAGTTCAAGAACTATGTATATGGTATCTGTTATGTAAGTGAAAATTTATTTAGGGATAATCGGTCTGCTTTATAAGTATTCATTTGTAAAGAGTAATGATTGTAAAAGTACTGCTCGTATCAGGGAATAAATATCAAAATAATCTTTATCTGTATTGATTTAACCTATTTCTCTTTCATTTGATTAGGAGAGAAGAAATGGGCCGCTCTAATTCTAGATCACATTCTTCAAGATCAAAGTCTAGATCACAGTCTAGTTCTAGGTCAAGATCAAGATCACATTCTAGAAAGAAGAGATACAGGTGAATTAATGGTTTCTGGCGCTTTTACTAATGAAATAGTAGCTAATAATTAGGGTCTGCTGTGTACTGACAGATATACTGCTAACTCCATTAATGTGTTTCATTCTCAGTAAAAACTCCATGGATTGGATTTGTTATTCTTATTTAGAGTTGAGATTGAGCATTGTCTAAATTATAACCTATTTACCAACTATGACTCAAGATCTGAGGTTCTTACTATACTGTGCTAATACATGATAAACATCTTTGTATTTTTTCCATGTTAAGATGAACTGGATACTTTAAGAATTCTTTGGCACTGAATCATATGTTTTCTGATTTTTCCTTTTGAATCTGATTCTTTAAAGGCTAATTTCCCTTTTTTTGTTGTTTAAAAGTGATTTTTTTTTCTTCAAATATCCATAGCACAGAAAGGGGGAGCCTACTGAGAATACTAGTTTGTAATTTTTCTGTTGTATATAATCAGCTTTGCTGAATACCAGTGGCATTTCACTGTATATAATTCCATTTTCACTTAGAAATTCATAGTGCCATTTAAATTTCTCTTACACAATGACTTTTAGTGTCAGCCTAGATTCGTTATATAATCTTCTGTTGGATATGTTGATAACCTCTCCCCTATTTCCTGTGCCTGCTTTCCCAAGGACTATTATAATTCTACTCTCTCGTTGTTTATCTTGGACATAACATTTAAACATACTAGAAACAGTAAACCTTCATACAAACAAGGTTTTAAAGTGTATATGACTTATCGTGTATATATGTTTTATTCAGCCCTACATATCTAAAATGGCAGAATGAAGTACTTTATTTTTCTTAAATTGATACTTATTTCATTTTTAGTTCTAGGTCTCGTTCCAGGACATATTCAAGGTCTCGTAGTAGAGATCGTATTTATTCTAGAGATTATCGTCGAGATTACAGGAATAATAGAGGAATGAGACGGCCTTATGGGTACAGAGGACGGGGTAGAGGGTATTATCAAGGAGGAGGAGGTAGATACCATCGAGGTGGCTATAGACCTGTCTGGAATAGAAGGCATTCTAGGAGTCCTAGACGAGGTCGGTCACGTTCCAGGAGTCCAAAAAGAAGATCCGTTTCTTCTCAAAGATCCCGAAGCAGATCCCGTCGATCATACAGATCCTCTAGGTCTCCAAGATCATCATCATCTCGTTCTTCATCCCCATATAGCAAATCTCCTGTCTCTAAAAGACGAGGGTCTCAGGAAAAACAAACCAAAAAAGCTGAAGGGGAACCCCAAGAAGAGAGTCCTTTAAAAAGCAAATCACAGGAGGAACCAAAGGATACATTTGAACATGACCCATCTGAGTCTATTGATGAGTTTAATAAATCTGCCACATCTGGTGATATCTGGCCTGGCCTTTCAGCCTATGATAATAGTCCAAGATCACCTCATAGTCCTTCACCTATTGCTACACCACCCAGTCAGAGTTCATCTTGCTCAGATGCCCCCATGCTTAGTACAGTCCACTCTGCCAAAAATACCCCTTCTCAGCATTCACATTCCATTCAGCACAGTCCTGAAAGGTCTGGATCTGGTTCTGTTGGAAATGGGTCTAGTCGATACAGTCCTTCCCAGAATAGTCCGATTCATCATATCCCTTCACGAAGAAGCCCTGCAAAGACAGTTGCACCACAGAATGCTCCAAGAGAGGAATCTAGGGGGCGGTCCTCTTTTTATCCTGATGGAGGAGATCAGGAAACAGCAAAGACAGGAAAGTTTTTAAAAAGGTAAGAACCCAAAGTAGGAAATTTACATTATTGTAGTAATGATTTTAAAGAATGTTGTAAGTAATGATTTTAAAATAGCATTATGGTAGGTGTTTAACTCTTTGTACTTGTCTTACTGATAATTCTAAATTTTTTTAAATTAAGTGTTTCGGATGTTTCTATTCTTTGTTTTAATGTTAGCTATTTTTGGTCAGTACACAGCAGTTATAAACAAGGAAAAAAACTTATATATTAAAAGCAATAATCAGTTTTATGCTAGGGATTTTTTTTTTTTTTCTTTTTTCTTTAGAATGTGACAGTGTGGTCATAATACATGTTCTTATGTGGTAATACAATCCAGCTGTCAATACTTAGTGAATTCTGTCTGGCTTTATTTCTCAGTGAGTCTAATGACATTTCAAGTACTTTGTTTAAATTCTAAGAGATGCTAGCAAATTCACGAAAATTAGGCTGTTAATACAGTATGATTGACCTAAAAAGTGAGAAAGTAGAACAGACATGCTGTTTATAGTTTTTTTTATAGTGCAACCTAGAATATTTTTCACTGAGCTGATGATTAGCTTTTAATTACCAGAAGTCATTATTTTTTAGAGTAAATTTTATATGAACTATTTAGGATTTCTTAAATTTAGATTTATTAGTATAAAATTGTGCTGAGTTGACGACATAGAATAGTTTTTTTGAGGATGACTTTGGGAAGTTTAAAAGTATAAGTTCTGTCTGAATGCTTTGAATGGTTTTAAGAACAAGGTTAATTTTCAGAAGAGTTATTTTCCTTTGTTGGGCAACACATTTAAATATGCAAATTGTCTGCAGTGAATGCAATCCAGAGTTACTGTCCTTTTCTTGTTCACAGGTTCACAGATGAAGAGTCTAGAGTGTTCCTGCTTGATAGGGGTAATCCCAGGGATAAAGAGGCCCCCAAGGAGAAAGGATCAGAGAAAGGCAGGGCAGAGGGAGATTGGGAAGACCAGGAAGTTCTAGATTACTTCAGTGATAAAGAGTCTGGAAAACAAAAGTTTAATGATTCACAAGGGGATGACACAGAGGAGACAGAGGATTATAGACAGTTCAGGAAATCGGTCCTGGCAGATCAGGGGAAAAGCTTTGCTACTTCATCTCACCGGAATACTGAGGAGGAAGGACCCAAATATAAGTCCAAAGTTTCACTAAAAGGCAATAGAGAAAGTGATGGATTTAGAGAAGAAAAAAATTATAAACTGAAAGAGACTGGATACATAGTGGAAAGGCCTAGCACTGCAAAAGATAAGCACAAGGAAGAAGACAAAGGTTCTGAAAGAATAACAGTAAAGAAAGAAACACAGTCACCTGAGCAGGTAAAGTCTGAAAAGCTCAAAGACCTCTTTGATTACAGTCCCCCTCTACACAAGAATCTAGATGCACGAGAAAAGTCTATCTTCAGAGAGGAGAGCCCGCTTAGGATCAAAATGATAGCCAGTGATTCTCATCGTCCTGAAGTCAAACTCAAAATGGCACCTGTTCCTCTTGATGATTCTAACAGGTAATTCCACATTGATGCCCAGTAAGTAATCTAGAGGTAGTTACTGGTAAAATTATTTTCTGAACATGGAATTTACACATTGAAACCAATGCTGTATTTTGTGTGTGTGTGTGTGTGTGTGTTTGTTTTTGATATATTCTAGGCCAGCTTCCTTGACTAAAGACAGGCTACTTGCTAGTACGCTTGTCCATTCTGTCAAGAAGGAGCAAGAATTCCGATCCATCTTTGACCACATTAAGTTGCCTCAGGCCAGCAAAAGCACTTCAGAGTCATTTATACAACACATTGTATCCTTGGTTCATCATGTTAAAGGTATGCTTAATATATTTAGTATCATGAAGTAAACTATTCTTTCATGCAAAATAAAAGGAGTACTTAAATTGAGTAATAGCTATGCTAATTGAGTTAGCAGGGAGATTTATCAGTACTGTTAAATATTCAGCATTGGGAAAATAATTTGTAGAGAGGATACCAGTGTTATTAGCATTGAGACTATTGAAAATAAGATGAGCAAATGGCTAGAGTTAAGACATAAAAATTTGTACCATGTCAAAGTATAATACAGGTTTGTTTAATGCTGAAAATTTAAATGTAATACATGTAATGTGAAGACTGTTTAAGACTGTTTAAAGATTGTCATTATATGCCTATGACTTGGTGACATATAATGCATAACTTTATAACAGCTTTAGGCAGTATAGTTAACATTTTATTGAGAATTTGTAGTCAGTTTGAAGAAATCTGAAGGCATTGGAAAAATAGTTGCTGAATTTGTGCTACTTTGTTTATATTACTTCAGTTCTCTTGGCTTATGTAAATTAGTAATTTTAAAGCAGATTTAAGAAATTTATAGTTGTATCAGTGGTTATATGAGTAATGACTAATTAGAATATTAAGATATTTCTTTAGGTTGTAAAAAAATAAAGGTCCATTTTATCTAAAGTCATAAATTTATTTTTTTTCACCAGTATGTAGTTGTAGTTTAAAAGCTACTAGTAATGTTCAAGGGTTTTAGGGTACAATTTTGTTTGGGGTCAATTCGATTAGTTTTGCTTTGTTTTTTTTTTTGTGTTTAGCAGGTTCTTTCCCAGGAAACTCGATGGCTGTTGGTCTATTTTTTTTTTTTTTTTTTTTTTTTTTTTTTTTTTTTAAAAAGTTGGTCTCATGAACAACTCATACCTGATATTTGTAGCTCACAATTCCTTATACTGAATAATAGTTAATAAATTTCTTTTTGGCTATAGTCAGCATGGTAACAAGAGAGACTCGCTGTTTGGCTGTAGATGAGCTTGTGAACCATATTATCACCTTTATGACTATAGTATTGTGGCATATAAAATTAGGAAGCATTAACATTTTTTCTTTTTTTTTCAACCTTTTTTTTTGACCTGTCTCTACACTTTATTGTTGAATTTTGAGATCAGATTTTGATACATTTTTTTCCTTTTTCATTTTCTTTTTTCCTTTTTTAGAGGATCTGTAGTTATGTTTCATAATTGGTGTTGTGCAACCGATCTGAACAGCTCTTACTTTATATAGAGCTGAAAATGCCCAGTGATGTTTTCTTTTTCATTGTAACTAGGTCCTGGAATATGTTTTGAAATGGCAAAATCCATGTTTCAAAGTAAAATAGCTGTTGAAAGATACAGGCAAAGTTGAATCTTCTGTCTTCCTGGCAAAAATGGCATAAAAACTGAGTTGCTAGCTCAAATTCCTGGGTTTCATGGAATTATGATTGAGGCACTACCCTTGTAGTGGCCGTTTCAAGTTTTAATGATTGGTTATGAGACATGTGCTGGATATTGGGCGGTAAGTTGACACAGATGTATGTTGACCTGTTAAGCAGATAGCTTGCTTCATAATGTAACATTTCATAGTTCATGAAGTATACGTCTCTATTTTACATTTACAGCATATCTTAAACTGGTTTAGAAACTAATCAATATTGTTATTACTAATTTAAAAAATGCTTAAAGATAGAGTATTGTATGTGCTGTCAGGTTTGCCAAGATGCCAGATTTTTTGGACGAATTAGTGAATGTAAATCAATTTCAAAGTGTTTTTTTTCCCAACTGAATGGCACTATTCACTTTTTTTGTAAAGCCATTTCTGTTGATAATGTCACCACAGTTAAAATAATTTTACTACTTTACTCAAAGTATCTGTATTATTTTATTTTTGCTTTCTGCAAATGATTATGAAGTGACAACTTTGTTTAATTGGCAGGGTTTAAGGACATACCATCTGTTATTGTTCCTTTTTGTTGTTTGAGGAAGTAGTTTATTAGCATGGAGTTAGATTCTTGATTAATTGTTTTGGGGTTATATTTAGTATTGACAGGGACTTGTGAGGACCTTTGAAATCATGTGTTGAGGTACAAGGAAGTAACAAAGAGCAGGAGTTTTTATTTTAACACTTGATTCTCTTCTGCTAGGTTTCTTGAGTATTTTTATTTTCTTTCACCTGCTCCATGCCCTTCTTTCACAAATGAAAATCCCCTCTTAAAATTAAGATTCCTAATTCGGCAGTGTTTCTCCTAAATCAACAGAGCAATACTTCAAATCACCTGCAGTGACCCTAAACGAGCGGTTCACTTCATACCAGAAAGCCACTGAAGAACATAGTACCCGGCAAAAGAGTCCTGAGATACACAGGTGTGTATTGTATATATTTTATATTTGCATATAAAATGTTAACTATTGAAAGGTATAAACAAGGTGATATGGCAAGTATGCTGTCATAATGAGATAAGTAAGCTTTGGTTTCTGTCTCTTAGACTAACACACTATTTTTCAAGTTTAAAAACAGATAATTTTTTTTCCTGATTTTCAGTTTACTTAGTTTTTTAAGCTCTTTAGAACTTTAAAATACTAACCTATGAAATTTAAATAGCTGTAGGTTTTGGGGGCCTGGCTGGGGAGTGACTGCCTAAAAAGGAACCTTTGAATTTGCTCAGTTCATCTGAAGTAAAAATACTTAGGGAGAAGTAGAGAGTTTATCATGAAGAAACATGAATGTTGTCAGCCAGCCAAAGTGTTGCAGTCTGGGATCTGACTCTTTGTTGCATTGGGAACTAAGTATTTAATGTCTAGACACAAGTATTTTCATCTGCTTACTTTATAGGATAGTCGTAAACCTTAAAAGTATGTAACTTGGTGCTTCGGTGCATAGGTATTTTGGTGACTTGGTAAAGCAGCATTGAGAAGTTTTAACTATTAAGAGCTTAAAATGGAAGGTACAGAATCACAAAAATTGAACCAAATACATGAAATTATATGAACTCCTGGAAGCCAGTAATTTTTTTTCGGGTGTTAATAGCAGTACTAATATTGAATATATTAATGTGTTATAGTTGCATGATTTAATATTTAAAGCAATAATCAGAATATTTTTTTTCTGTTTTGTGTGGTTAAAATATAATGGCACTTAAAATATAATGGCACTTAAAAGGTCTGCTATCAATTATATATAAAAATCTACCCAAACCATTTTAATTGGTTTGTTTTGTATTTGAGGCAGCGTTTTGCTGTGAAGCTTTGGCCGGCTACATGCTCATGTGGTGTATGTGGGCCTCAAATTCAAAGCAGTCTTTTTTATCTCAACCTGAGGGGGTACTAGGATTAGAGGCATTTGCCATCATATCTAGTTTTGCACTGATTTTTAATGTATATAATTTTTATTTCTTAGGAATTAAATCAATATACTTTAATGTGCCAAATTGGTTTATGTAGGAGAGATGGAGAGATGTAACTATCTAGTACCCCCCAACAATGGGTAAAACTTTTAAATCAGAAAGTAAATTATGTAACTTAAAATACACTTTATTTTATATTAAGGAGGATTGACATCTCTCCAAGTGCTCTGAGGAAGCATACCCGTTTAGCAGGGGAAGAGAGAGTTTTTAAAGAAGAAAATCAGAAGGTATGTTTCTTAAAAATATACTTGCTTTTCTTGTGAAGCTGAGCTTAATGATACTACACTAAACATTGTTTTCTGAGACAAAATGATTACATCTTTTTATGGTGTTTTAAGCCAAGAAAACTGTTTGAAAATGCTTATCAATGGTAAATGTCAGCCACAAGAATAGGGACTTTGTGAGTTGACAAGCTTATAAACATTATTATATAAATTGTATTGTGGTTTTTATGAGGTTTTGAGTGGAGACCAATAAGTTGGAATTTGAGTTAATTGTATTTCTGCTTCTTCAAAAAAGTTACCCTAATGCTGTTAGGCCTTTTGAGGGCAGCGAGTTTTGATAACCTAGGCTGTTCTTGAATAAATGGCAATGCTCCTGCCTCAGCTTCCTTAATGTTCAGCTTACTAATGTGCACCATCACACCTGGCTAGTGTACATTTTTATGTCGTTTAAGAAATAGGCATTAATTTTTGTTGGGCTCTTTCCTTTCTGTTTGTTTGGTCCTAATTCAGTTTGTTTTGTTACTGTTTTATTATATTTTGTAACTATTATCCCTTAGATACTTGTGTGCTTTTTAACAAGAGACAGAAAGTAGATGGATCCAGATGGGAGGGGAGGTAGGGCAAACCTGGGAGGAATAGAGGGAGGGGAAGCCATAATTAGAGTATATTGTATGAAAGAAAATCTATTTTCAATAAAGAAAGAAAGAAAAAAAAAGAAGGAAATAGGCTCTTGAGGCTGGATACAACTTTATTCCCTGTACACAGGAGGCAGAGACAGGTGGCTCTCTGAATTCCAGGCATGTCCGAGCTACATATAAGTTCCAGGCCAGCTCTGACTACAGCATGAGAAAGATAAGAAGTAGGTGTTCTACAAACTGATTGCTAAGTGCACTTTTGTTTCTGTTGGACTACTTAGGAATTTGGCTTTAAAACTTGAAAAGAACCTGTGTAGATCCTACAGGTAAGGTGAGGAAGCCAGGGAACTTGGTGAGACTGCAGTGCAGTCATTAAGGGTTCTGATGATTCAAAGTTGACAGTTATTAGGTATGCTAGTTCATATGACTATACCGTGTTTAATAGTCATATATGCAGCTGAGATAGCAAGGGATCAATTCTGTTTTGAAAATGCTAAGAGTTTTGGAAAATAACTTAGTAAACCTTGATTTTCATAATTAATAAGTCCGTTTTGTGGAGGTGTGGAGTAATTGGGCTATCTTTGATTTTTTTGGACCTTTATTGATAGGAACTTACTGACAGTGCCAGCGTGCACATTTTTCAGTATGATGTGCTACTAACTGAATTGGTTTTGAAATCTAGATTTAGGGATCAGGTAATGTCTGTGCACAGGAGATAATAGTTTTGGAAAAATGGACTGAGGATTGAATTGGTTTGATACTATTTTAAAAAATCTTTTAATACTTTAGATCCAATAAGTGTTAATTGTGTTAATTTCTGCAACAATTCACTCTGTGTTTGTGCTCTGACAGTATTTTTCTCCTCTTAGCACTCAGTCTGAAAGAGAAGTGATAGGTGATTAGTAGGACATGATAATCGAGCTTTGTCAGATTTCTGTCTTAATAATAACATGTTAATATGAAATTATATGCCTAGCAAATTTTACAAGTAGTTTCCCTTAGGTTATCTTGTTTCTTGTGGAGTTAGCAATACCCAGGTGAATAGGAAAGCTTTGCTTTTATGACTAGACTTTGTTACGAACAAATTGGTGAGTAGTACTTATCACATTGAGAGATGCATACATGCATATATATTTCAGTTTTGTTTTGATTATGATTATTACAGTTAGACTTCCCAGAATAAATATTTCTCATTGTTGAATAATGTCAAGGATGTCCACATTGCTTAGCATCTTACTGATGTATAATTTCTCTTCATTCCTAGATGCCTCTTTTCAACTCCTAAATTATATAGTATTTGAAAAAGCAATGGAACAAGGAGGAGGTGAACTGTGACCCAGTTAAACTAATGTCTGTTGCAATACCTGAATTGAGAAAGGGCAATATATGGCCCAAGATACTGAGTACAGGATTGCGAATAATAATGTTTTTTTGACTTTGTTTGACTTTTGTTCAACCTCAGTTTTATTAATCGAAATCCACTTGCATGTCATGAAAAATTGCAGAATCACTAATTTTGAAGTATCTTCTTGTGTTTATTAACTTATCTGGGAAGATGGTGATGATAATGAGGCTTAGTTAATGAGACCCATAACTTCAGGATGTCAAGATTATAGGCTGAAAGCCACATTACAACTACAGATGATAACTTTTAACATTGTTTAACTGTTTCATAGAAACTATTTGGAAGAATAAGAGTTAATCATGATTCACTGAGTAGAAGGATGTATCAGTTTGTTGCCAAAAGATTATTAATAGATTGCTTAGAATAAATCTCAGAAGTGTAAAGATTTTAGTAACTTCTAGCTTCTAGTGTGTGTACACAAATGGTCAGTCAAAGTAGGTATTTTTAAAAGATTCCAACGATGATGGGTTGTATGTGATGCATTGGTTTTTGATAATAAAAATGCAAGTTTAGAATCTGGTGTAACATAACTGCAGGTATATATGCATTTCTGTTTCTTGCCTGAAATCTGTATTTTATGTGTTTTATACAGGGGGATAAAAAATTAAGGTGTGATTCAGCTGATCTTCGGCATGACATTGATCGTCGCCGTAAAGAAAGAAGTAAAGAACGGGGGGATTCCAAGGGCTCCAGGGAATCTAGTGGATCAAGAAAGCAAGAAAAAACTCCAAAAGATTACAAGGAATACAAATCTTATAAAGATGACAGGTAATTGTTAAAATTGTCTTCACTTAGGTTTTAGCTTCTAATTAGCCTTTAATAATTGTCAGCTTAATTGCTTTCAATTTTGACTATGTAATCGAATGTTTAAATTTAAACAATTAAAATTATTTGTTTTACAGCAAAAATGTATTTGTCTTTTACACGGCTTATGGTGGATGAGGACAAAAACTTTGGAATAGCAAGCTAACACTGAAAAAAAAAATGACAAATTAATGTGTCCTATTATCCAGGCTACATCAGGAGGTTGGACTTCAATGCAGTGCATTTCTAGAAACAGTTTGTGTAAGAACTTTGGTTCGTTATGCTTGATTCCGCACTTTTTCAACTCATAACACCCAGAGTACAAGACTGTTAAAGTGATATCTAGTGGTTTAACATGGGAGAGATGGGGGGAGGAAAAATTAGAAAATAGGATTGTGCATTAATTAGTCTTTGAGAATTAGATTTCCGTGGATATAATTAGCAGTGGTAAGAGTTATTGCAGGTATGACCTTTTTGGGTGTTGCATTAGAATCATGTAAATTCGATCATCGTAGAGTCAAATGTAGGAATATGGTGTATTATAGATAATTGTTTTTCTTGATGTTCATTAGGAAAATGGTGGATTTGACTTGTGGTTTTAAATTTATGACTGTTATAATGTTATATGCCTTTTATTTCTATCATGTTTTGGCCCAAACCATACTAACTGTTCTTACTCAGGGTGTATATAAACTGCAGTCAGCCATTTTAAATCTTGAACTCAAGAACATTTTCGGGCTGGGCTGTAGCTTAGTTGTAGAGTGCCTTATCTAGCATGTGTCAGGCCTTGGGGTCAATCCCCAGCACTGCAACAACAGAAACCCACTCTTTACTTTATTAAAATAACAAAGGATTACAAATTAATGTATTGACGAACTGAATGTCACTGAAGTTTGCAAACTACCAGTTTCTAGCTGGTAGGCTATACATAGTGTGTTTGTTAATTTTGTAAGACAATCATTGGAGAAGATTGGAAACAGATTATCAGTTTTTATACCTGATTTTACTTATGTAATAATTTTAAAGGGGATAGGTTTTTTTTTTTAACTTAAAAACATTCCTCATAAGATTCTAAGGAATTCTTTATCCTTTTTTTAAAAAAAAAAAAGCACAATTTTTTTCTTTATTTTTCAGCAAACATAAAGGTAGAGAGCAAGACCATTCTCGATCATCATCTTCTTCAGCATCACCTTCCTCACCGAGTTCTCGAGAAGAAAAAGATAGTAAGAAAGAAAGAGAAGACGAGTTTAAAGCTCATCATGAGATGAAAGACTACTCGGGATTTGCAGGAGTTAGCAGACCTCGAGGGACCTTTGTAAGTAACAGTTGTCCTTGATCATTCAGCAGACTTTACTTTGCAGAACTGTAAAAAAGGGGAAATCTATACCTTATAGATTATTAGTCGGCTTTCCCAAAGTCAGAATCAGTCTTGAGAAATGAAATGGTATTTGAAATAGTATGTTCATTCTGAAATGCCATTTTGAGATCTTAAGCATCTATATAAACAGTTACTTGTTTTCCCCAGATCAATAACAGTTTCAAAAGTTCACTTATTTAATTACTAGTTTTGGAAAACCTATTTTTAAAACATTAAAATCTACTCATCTCTTTATTATTACCGTTTTCATTTTTGACTATTCAGGTCCTTGCTTATTTGTGTACCAGTCACACTTTCTTTCCTGAGTTTACAGTATAGCATGTTTTTTAAAGTTACTGTAACTGTTTAAAGGTGCATTTTCTCATGTCCATACTTTAGCTTTATCTAGTTGGATATTCCTACAATCCCTAGGTCATTTAGGGAAGGGAAAAGCTTTTCTTGTAGGGTAACAGATGTGATACTAAACACCTGGAGTTCTGGTGGTATAATTCAAAGGAACTAGATAACTTTTGGCTAGTGAAAAGGGGGGATCTAACTATATCATAGTTTAAAAATACTAGTTTCAGGTCATGAAAGTACATATTTTAATACAGTATATTATTTTTATTAATCTACTCAACTTCCAGTAGGCCTATGGTATAAAATGGATACTCTTTCATCCTCAGAGGCTGTGAAGACAGACAGGTGGACAGACACACATGAACACACACATTTTGCTTTTGTTACTGCAGTAAAATCTAGAGCTTGCATGTAACTAAATACCTTTGATTGCATTACTAAACAACTTTGTTAATGTTAATCAGTTTCGAATTAGAGGCAGAGGAAGAGCCAGAGGAGTTTTTGCTGGGACAAATACTGGTCCAAACAACTCAAATACCACTTTTCAAAAGAGACCGAAGGAAGAGGAATGGGATCCAGAATATACCCCAAAGAGCAAGAAGTACTTCTTGGTGGGTGTTAGAAATCTGTTTTGTTTGGTTTGCGTTGATTTTCAAAACATCCTAGGTGAATACTAAACATTTCAGTGCAGATGTTCACCATTATGAGATTTCACTGTAACTTGAGAACATTTTTTTCTCTTAAATCATTACTTAAATTGTTTGAAGCTTTGAGTTCAGATGTGGGTCCCTTTAGTTCTGATTATATACTTGACGTAACATCACATACAGTAGACTGATCAAGGTAAATTAATAATATGCCTGATTTGATTGCCACATTCAGAGAAAAAACATGCTGTAGTTAACTCTTCCATATCTGTCTAAGACAGTTCTAAGTATAGAAACCTCTTAATTAAATTGTACTTTCTACTAAAAATTTGTTTAAAGACAAGAAAAGCAATGTTTTTCATGATTCTTGTAATGAGGGATCTCAGTATTTTCAAATTCATTGGAATAATAGGAAAAACAGGTTTTGAAAATTAATTGCTAGATACACTGGCTTTGATCATTGTGATAGACTTGCTTTTTTATGTTCAAATAGTTTTCAAAGCATAAAATAGGAGGTTGTGGGTCTTGAAGGATGGTAATTTTTTAGTTTGGCATGGGGAAAGAAAGGGTTGTGTGTTCTGTATTTTAGAGACAGATGTTAAGTTACCAAAACTTACCAGAGGTATTAGTCTTTGACGTAGCTTTTCGGGGAAGTCTTGTTTCAGGGCTAGTTTTGAAAATTGAAACTAAATAGTAGTGGCCTTAGAGGGTGATCAAATCTTAGTGTCCATAGCAGATTTGTTTAATTAGGAGATCAAATCTATATTCTGAAGTGAATCTGTTTGGAAAATGATCAGTACACGTTTCCAAAATGGATTCCTACTTTCCTGTTTATATTAATGACCCAAAATTTGGAAATGTTATGTATGTAAACTTTTAGAATGCATGATGTGTAACAGTCATTCATTTTGTGTTCTCTGCTGAGAAACTAGTAGCTTGAGTTAATAGTCTGGAAATTATAAAGGTGTATGATTAAGATGATGAATTGTTTTAGAAGATTCATTTACATTTGATTTGTTTATAAATGGGCTGGATAGATGGCTCAGTGGTAAGAGCACTTGCTGCTCCTATATAGGACCAAAGTTCAATTCCTAGTAAACTATCTTGGGCTCTGACACCGTCTTCTAGCCTCTTCTGTGGTTACCTATGGGGACATGGTGCACATTTAGAAAAAGCACATGTGTATACACCCATAAATAAATAAATAAATTTATTTTTTGAGACAGGGTCTCTCTAATAAAGCCCTGGCTGTCTTAGAACTCACTATGTAGACCAGGCTGGCTTCCAACTCGAGAGATCCACCTGCCTTTGCCTCCTGAGTGTTAGAATTAAAGCAGGTGCCATCACACCCAGCTAAATGTTCTTTTGAACATTGTCTTTTTAAGAAAAACTAGAATTTATAAATTACATTTATTTTAATAATTTTAAAAGGCACTAGAATAATCCCATTTGGGGCTTAAGGACAAGTGACAGAAACTTTCAGTTCTTGTGACTTTACAAAGGAGAGAATGAGAGTTTATAGAGAAGCTTGTGAGTCTTGAGCATAAAAATAGGTAGCTCGAGTGAACATACTAGAAGATGTTAAAACAGCTCTGTGAATTTGAGGTCAGCCTCGTGTACAGAGGAGTTCCAGGATAGCCAGGACTACACAGAAAACCCATCTTGAATAACAACTAAATAAACCCAAACAAACAAAATAGATTATGGTAGTCTGTAGTGCTTTAATAATAAAATTAAACGAAGAGCTAGATACCAGGTGCCTGAACCAAGGGGGGCTATATTTGAAAGAGGATTTTAAAGAATTTCCTTCAAGGTTTTTCTTGGTATGGAGCTTTGACTGACCTGATACTGGATTTGGCTCTTCCTGTGTTAGCTTCTAAATACTGGCCCGTTTTACAGTTGTGGACTACCATCTCTGACTTAATGGGAACTTGGAAATAGTTTGGTCAGGAGTAGAGTACCTGAAAACCTAGAGGAAAGACACAGTTTTAAAGAAAATTAACTCTCCCTGTCTAGGTTTAATTAAAAGTGAATTGGAGAAAACAAGAATAAATCCAATTGGTAGTTGTCAATGAAGTTTTGGAGACAGCAAAATACAAGAATCATGACAGTCACCATTAAAGATGTGAGATTACATGAAATACATGTTAAGAGGCTCGCATTTCAAAGATAGGATATGAGGAGTAATAAAAATGACAAATAGTTGAAGTGTGAGACTCAGCTTCCTGTATTGCTAGGAAGGAATAAGCCTCTGCTTCATGGTTGCTGGGAATAAAGTAGTGTATGTGGCATACTGTTACATACTTTTATGTATGCAGTGGTCTGCCTACTTGTATGGCTGCAGGCCAGAAGAGGGCACCAGATCTCATTACGGGTGGTTATGAGCCGCCATGTGAGTTCTGGGAATTAAACGCAGGTCCTCTGGAAGAGCAGTCAGTGCTCTTAACCTCTGAGCCATCTCTCCAGCCCCCACTATTACATACTTTTAACAGTTTTAAAAACTTGTATGATTTTAAGACATGATCTCAAGTCTGTATGGTATATGCTGGAGGATGACCTTGAACTCCTGATTGTACTTTGCTTATTCCTAAGTTCTGGCATTAATAGACATGGGACACTGCACTCAACCAAAAGATGTAATTGAGACGAGACTTTGTGTTGCTAGTCAGAATCTGCTGTCATGATCTTATATATATATTCAATTGGGACAAAGACATTTTAGATTGTCTTATAATGCACAGTAATTTTATTAATGTGTTATTTTAAGAATTTAGTTACTTACTAAATTAGTTATTGCACGATTTTAATCTCAGCACTCTGGGAGGCAGAATTGAAGTTGATCTCTTGAGTTTGAGGCCAGCCTGATTTATATATAGAGCAAGTTCCAGGACAGCTAGGACTACACAGAGAAACCCTGTATTGAAAAACAAGCAACAACAAAAAAAAAAAAGGTGATAATTTGTTGGTATTGTGGGTTTTCATTTTTTTGTTTTTGTTTTGGAGGCAGGGTTCCTCTGTGTAACCCTGGCTGTCCAAACTGGCCTCAGATCACCTGCCTCTGCCTATGAGTTTTAGGATTATGGGTATGCACCACCACTGCCCTGCTATTGGTTGTAGTTTAAAATTTTTGATCTGTGTAATACATGCATACACGTGCACATCACAGATGGTTATTTTGGTACTTAAGAGCAATTGAAGGGCAACTTCTATTCACCAGAATTTTGTTTTGTTTTTGTTTTTCCAGACAGGGTTTGTGTTTGTGTTGCCCTGGCTGTCTTGGAATTCTCTGTGTAGACCAGGTTGGCCATAGAGGGCCACCTGCTTCTCAAGTGCATAAACCACCACCAACTGGCTCACCAGAATATTTTAATTTAACATTTTGTATTTTATGTACAGACACTGACTTTAGACCATATTGAAAACAGAGATAATGAGCAAAAATAATAATTCAAAAAAGATGGTTTAAAATTTGACATTTCTTTGGGTTCTTTAACAATAATATACCAGTGTAGAAAGTTTAACCCAGTAGAATTTTAATGCTAGTGACATTTAAGCTAGACATTGTAGTGCATACTTGAAATCCCAGCATTCAGGCAGAAGGGTAGATAGATACAAGTTTGAAGCCAACATGGTGACCTACATGCGGACATGAAAAATTTAATGTTAAAAAAATCTTTCTGAGAAGTTTACTGTGTTGGGTTAGTAAGAATGCTGTTAGTATTTGAGTCTATGCGCTATACTCCAGGCTGAATTTCTAATTTGTGGTCCTCATACTGCCTTGATGAATTATAGAATATAGTAATGTTTGTTATATTCTAAAGTTTATCTCCAACCTTGACTTTTTGCAAGGGTGTGATAATAATAATAAGAATTCTAGGAAAAAAATGCTAGTGTCAGGTAGATCTTGAGTGATAAATATGAGGATTTGGAACAAGTGGGAAAATACAGAAATACACAAGTTCTCCTCAGAAGAAAAGTAAACAATCTCTGATAGAGTGACGAGTTTAGGGATAAAGGATGGGTCAAGTTTTAGAATAACTTTTGAAGTTTTAATTTTTTAGAACCCAATACTTTTTAATGCAGGGGAGGTCTAGACAAGATTTTGTTCTGCCCAACGAACATGCTAACTTTAAAATGTAGATTGCTGTCTCTGAAAGGGGATTAGAGGTCTGCATGGGGTAACTTGATCCGATTGTGTTAGTGGAGAGATGAAGATACAGAGATTCTTCAGTCCATTATAGATTCCGTTGAAAACAACAACTGTTTCACCTTAACTGTCATCTATGAAAAATTTAATTAGTAAAATTAGGAGATTGAAATTTTGAATATAAGAATTTGAGAATGAAGACTGTTTAGAGTGGCTGGGGAGGTAGCTCAGAGGTCAAAACTGGAATTCCCAAGATCACCATATAAATGCTGGGTTTGTGCAGTGAACACCTGTCTAAATCCTGCCTCCATAGTGGAGAAGAGCGATTCCCCTAGCCATAGCTACCACACTAATGGGTTTGTTTGCAAGACCCTTCCTCAATTGAAAGAGATGGAGAGCATTCAAGAATGTTCCCAGCTTTAGTCATGCCCTCCACAAGCATGCACACACACTTGGCCAAGCACCCATATAGCACATACGCCACACACATGAAAATAGCAAAAGAAGAAAAAAACAAGTGTTTAGAATCTACAATTTCACTATTAGGACCTTCTGTGAAGGAAACATTTTAGTTTTCCTGAGGTTCTGCTTTCTTATTACTTAATTTCAGATGAGTATGTATCTAAGAGTAATAGCTAATTTGGCTGGCACCTAGCTTTGCTACTGGTCTTTTCCCTTTCTATTCTGAGTTGCCTGATAGGGTTACTCATTTACTGCCCCAGGATTTGTGGGAATTGTATCCTGTGGACAGTGGTCAGTAAGACCACTTTTTTTTTTTTTTATTTTTCTTTGTTTCTTGATGTTTTACAGGATAGGAATAGTCAATAGTGTACCTGGTTCTAAAGATTGGATGAATACTTAACATGTATTCAGAGCAGTGTTTTACCATCCTTAGTAAGCACTGTAGAAACATTGAGTTTTTGTTTGTCAGACACTGAGCCAAGTATTTTTTTTTTACTGATTCTCTGTAAGTGTTCCCCTTGGCTGTTTCCTTGTATTAGAATGAGGTAAATTCTCAGAGAAGGTGGTTTCTGTTGAAGATATAAATGGCAGGTGTTTACTCCAGAACTTGTTTGCCTCTTCAAATTCAGGCAGGTCTTTACTCCAGAACTTATTTGCCTCTTCAAATTCAAGGACTACTAAATACCACACCAAACAAAAAAGACTCAGATTGAGTATTAATGCTACCAGGGAGCATGAAACAATGTAACTATAAACATTGTTTTGAGTAGCTCTTTTTTGTTTTGTTTTTTAAAGACTTAGTATGTATACAGTGTTCTGCCTACAGGCCAGAGGAGATCACCAGATTGCATTAGGGATGGTTGTGAGCCACCTTGTGGTTGCTGGGAATTGAACTCAGGAACTCTGGAAAGCAGTCAGTTCCCTTAACTGCTGAGCCATCTCTCCAGCTTGAGTAGCTCTTTTCTAATGTATCTATAATTTTGATAATCTCAGAAGTCATTATTTATGAAATCATAGAAACTCCACCTAGCAATCTTCATTGGTTTTGTACAGGTATCAAAAGGGGTAACAGTTATTAGCAGTTGAAGTGTTCTTTAGAATGGCTTAATAATTGCCTGTACAATTCCAACTTGTAAATTATGTAAGAAGTTAATCTTGACAAAATGGTTATGCATAAAGGCTTATTCTGTTCTGCAGTCTGTGACACTTTAGAAGATTCTAGTGAAGTTACTCAGTATAAATCCTTAAAAGAATGTGCAACATGACATTTGCATTATGCACATTTTCTCATAAAGGGTTATTGTTGTGCATTACTTCGTTTAACAGTTGGCAGGTTTAATAAATGAGTTAATGAGAGAGAGAGACCTTAGGCTTTTTGTATTATATTTTGGAATGGGAATACTTCTTTATAAACTTAGTAATTTTCACCCTTGGAGATTGTTTGCTTAATAGAACAGTTTGTAAGTTGAAGAGTAACTATTTAAATATAGTTATTGAAAACTTAATAGCTGAGATAAATTGCCATGGGGCTTTGCTGGTATGATTTACCATTGACACTCCGTGGCTGCAGATTAATGTATAGTCACATCTAGATTTAAATATCAGTGTAGGATTTTAAAATCTTTCATGCTAGGCATAATTATGTAACATGTAATACACGTTATTTATAGCATTACAATAATTTTCTGGCTTTTGCAGTGTCCTTATGATATTTCTGTGGGTAATATTTTTGATTCTCATTACTTGCAGTGTGATTAGAGAATTAATATCTTTACAAGAAAGCCATTTCATTGATGTGTTTTCTTTTTAAACCTTTCTATAGCATGATGACAGAGATGATGGTGTGGATTATTGGGCCAAAAGAGGAAGAGGTCGTGGTACTTTTCAACGTGGCAGAGGGCGTTTTAATTTCAAAAAATCAGGTAGCAGTCCAAAATGGACTCATGACAAATACCAAGGGGATGGGATTGTTGAAGATGAAGAAGAGACCATGGAAAATAATGAAGAAAAGAAGGACAGACGCAAAGAAGAAAAGGTAGACATTTTCTGATTCTTTTTTTTTTTCCTGCCCACAGATTTCATTTAGTATGGGCTTGACAGGCAAATCTGTAGATCAACTTTTAGAAATAATTATCATTAATATTCACTACCTCACAGCTTTATTGACCTATTTTTTTTTTTCCCCTTTTAGGAATAGTATCAAGATTGCAACAGAGAGCACAACTTGACACTCAGTTTTTTTAAACCTGATTTTTGTTTTCAAATAAGAATGTAAACATTTTACTTAAAATTTACTGTTTGCAAGTAGTCTATAGGAATTTTGTTTTAAGTCTTCAGATACCTTGGGGAAAAATAGTAGACTGTATGTTGAAAATTGTATTGAAATAAAGTAGAAAATGTTCCGTACCATATTTGTAACTATCAACTTTTAAAAACCTTTGACTGTTTTTGTTATATGCATTGTATTTCTGCTTTGTCTATAAGAAATGGTCAAGTCCAGCTCTGTGACAGCTCTGATTCTCTTGACTCCCTGTTTGTTAATGTTTGGTTCAGAAGTAAACGTTAGCGCTACACAAATCCACACAAACCTTCCAACAAGAGTTGTTTATGGTGACCACACTAATTATTTAACTGTACACTTATGTTTAACATCTTTTTAAATTTGAACACTACATTGTAGTGTGACTAATTTTTGAAAGTACCACAAAAAAAGTTGCTATTCTGGTAAACTAAAACTAGTCTCACACTTAAGCAAATATATAAGGACAATAGCTTTGTTAATAGCTAAAAACTACAAATTATTCAGTTAGAAAGCTTTGAGAAAGTGGTATTTTTGCTGAAAGCAAACAGTGGCATGTAGTCTTTTTTAAGATCCTTTCCTTTATGAATTCAAAATTGAATATTTTCTTCCATTCTCATTTGATAGTTTGAGTCATGGTCTTAGATATCAGCTATCTAAAAGAGAGAAACTGGTTTGTACTATTAGTGTAAGTAAAAATCCTAAGTCCACAGACCTGGTTGTATTTTTTAAAGAACAAAAACAGCAAAACTTGGGGGGGGGGGTTACTCATTTGGAGGGTTCTTCTGAAATATAGTTTGATACAATTAGTCATTAAGTACCTGCTTGGATAGCATACATATTTATTGGAGACTATGAACAGCTGTAGATTAGTCCATAATTTAACCATGGAATTACAGATCCAACATACTATTTAGTAGTTAAATAATTTTCCTTTTAATATTACCAATAAAAGATTTAGGCAGGAAGCTTATAGCATTAATCTTACTCCCTACCTTTCACCCCGTTAATTTAAGTTTATAAAATGGCCTTTTTCTTTTCTAGTAGTCTACCTTACCTAAAGAGGTAGATAATCTTCCTTGCTATTTATTAGCCCTTGGAGGAATAAAGTTCACACTAAAACTGACTTATTCTAAACATGTAAAGCTAGCCACATTGCATCAGATTAGTTGTATATTTTTGCATTTAAAGGGGATAATGCTTATTCTATTAATGTAAACGTTTAAAGCTTGCAAGTGTATGGCTCTTTCTGTTTTGATGATTTACAATGTGTCTTAGACGTTGAATAGCTAGTGACATTTGCTAAGAGCTGTTGGCAACAAAATTAAACTAAAACCAAAAAGTCAACATGTGATATGTTTTATCTTTTTTTAAAAAAACGGTTTTGACATTGGCCTGTCATCTTTATTTTGAAATTCTTAATTGTAAAATATGTCTAAAGTTCATTTTGTTTTTTTTGTTGCGGCTAAGCAATGGCAGCATTTTTAAAAATAAAACCTTAGAAAATATTCAGAACTTGAAAAAAAATGACAGTACAAATTACAGTGTGGTCTAGATACATTTCTTCTGCAGAGGGACTCAGACATTGCATCTGGCACAGCTTTGGAGAAATCACCAACACAAACAAAACATTCTTTGCTATCAGGGCTGTCAGGCCAAGGCTTCTTACTCTTGGGTTCTGCATGGTGCTGATGTCTGGGTCCCATTTGATATCCTGCTCTCATCTCCATAGCAATGGAGCACCAGTTGGTGATTCTTGTTTTTAAGTCTCAGTATCAGTAGCTGAACAGATTGTCCACCACCTCTGGTCTTACGAACATCACCCTTCATTACTTAGTCTGAATCTCCCCATAGGAGGCTAATTCCTGGTGGGTCAGCATATACTTCTCACACTTGACTAGCGCCTTTTCATTTGTAACAGGCACTGTGATGGCGGTGAGGTACATGTTGCTGCACAACTGTCTCAGTTTGCACATTAGCAGTAGGCTTATGATCTACCCATCTGCTCCTTGCAGAGTGGGACCTTCTGTGTCATACAGGAGTTGATGTGTTAGGCACAGGCGAAGGAGAGACAGATCTCTGAATGATTTTTTTTTACCTGGTCTCAATCCCAGGAGGGTCTCTGGCTTCTCAGATTTAGGTTCAGTCATAATGGCCTTCAGCTGTTTGAGTTTTTCATCTTTGCAGAATTTATTCCATATCTCCAGCTGGGTGGCTGTCACCTGGTGTTCTGCTATTTCTTCATTGTTTCAGTCACCATGCCTTGCAACCTGGGTTCTCACCTGTGCTTGTCAGCAAGCTGCCGCTGATGCTTCCGATTTTGGCTCTCAAGCTCTTGCTGCTAATTGTGCTTATCTTCTTCATAGATCGTGGTTGTTTTCTTCAAAATCTCACTCTTGTACTCCAAAGTTTTGTTCTTCTCCAGTCCTTCTGTTTCTGATTTCTGTCCTGAGATCAGTTTTTCTTTTTCATTTAGTTTTTTCTGGTATGTTTGTCTTAAGATTCTCACCCAGTGTTGCCTGATTTCTCTCATTGTCTATCTGAAATTATTTAGTGAATCAGAAAATATCTGCAAAGCAACTTTATTGCATCAATCTGGACATAATTAGTACCATCCTGTTCAGATTAGTACTTAAATATAAAAGCAACATGTATTTAATTCCCCAACAATTTTCATATCATTCTGTTTTACATGAATACATTTAACTTTTAACAGTTCTTTGGTTATGCACTGAATCTTGACATGTTTATTTTTTCTACAACAGAGTAAAGTAGATTCACTGGAAAATAATTAAATAGGGAGTAACAGGTTATATTAAAGTACGAACGCAATGCTGTAACCTTTTATTACTTTCATTTTAAAGTTGAGAGAAGATCCTACTATAGTAAAGTGTGATGATAAGCGCTCTGCAGTAGAACACCACTGTGAATCTTCTCTTTCTCAGAGCCAAACATAATGCAGCCTGTGTGTAGTTTTTGAGATAACTATTTAATTTCATATTTCATGACATAAAAGCTGAATGGTTCCTTGTGTAAAGCTGCTTGATTATAAGTGCCATGAAAATAACTGTTAAAAGTTGTATTAACATACTTCCTTTGCCCAGAGAAAAGAAATAAAAATGAACCAAAGGATTTTTCCAGGGGGAAAAAAAATAGCACAGAAGGCCATGACTCAGTTCTTAGGTGTGTATGCTTTTGAACATCTTAAGAATTCTAGTAAAAATCAAGTCTTTTCCAGTTGCACTCTATTTCAAGGAATTGTTATTGTTCCTTTTGTCACCATTAAAATCAGTGTTGGGAATTAAATTATAATTTGAGGGACAACTCTTACCCCATGAGAATGAATGTAGACGGCTAAACGATTCTTACTCAGTGTGGTGTATATTTCAACAGGGATCCTTGTAAGTTGTCATATGCCAATAAAATGTCCTAAGTGGTAATAGCTGTTGTCTGTTTACCTGATTTTGAGGGTCTTCCTGGGTTGACTTCCTACCCAGCAGATTTCTACCGCCCATTTCTAGAATTTGGAATATTAACTCAATTGTTGTATACTTAGTATGGTTTGATAAATGCTTTTAAAGGTTCCTCAAAACTGTCTTAATTGCTTTCTCTTCCTTGGAAGATGAGAATGCATAGAGTTTGTAGTTAGCCATTCTGAAAAATGCAGGAATTCCAGTTTAGTAGTTATCAAAAAAGTCCTTGAAAAGAAAAACACACAGAACTTTCTGTCAGTTGGTTGGTTTTTTGAGACAGGTTTTCTCTGTGTAACAGCCCTGGCTGTCTTGGAACTTGTTTTGTAGACAAGGCTGTTCTCTGCCTCTGTCTCCTCAGTGCTGGGATTAAAGACTACCACCAGCACCCAGCCAAAATGCACAGAATTTTAATCCTAGCATGCTGGGCTATCAGTTGAGGTTAGCCAAAGCTGTATCTGTCTTAAAAAGTTAGTCATCCATGAGATTTTTGTTTTGAGACAGGGTCTGATGTGGCTGAGGCTGACCTTAAAGAGTACATAGCTAAAGATGACTTTGAACTTCTGAGCCCCCTGCTTTCACTTGAATGGGAAATTGCTGGGATTGCAGTGCTGTGCCACATTTTATTGCAGGGCTTGGAATTGAACCCTAGTGCTTTGTGCATGCTGGGCAAGCACTAACTGAGTCACACCCCCAGCCAGCTCCTCTAAAACATACAAAATAACTGAGTGGTTTTAAGTTAGTTGTCTTTTAAGATCTGGTACAATTGAAACATTCTTCTTAAAAATTATTGGAAATACAAAAGAAATACTATACTAAATATTCCTTTACCTTTAAAACATTTTTATGGAAGTGGGAATTGACTTTTTACAAAAGATTTATTTGGGTGTGTGTGTGTGTGTGTGTGTGTGTGTGTGTGTGTGTGCTAGTGCCCACCAAGGCCAGAAGAGTGCATTGGATCCTCTGGAGTCAAGACAATTGTGTGCCACCTGATGTGGATGATGGGAACTGAACTTGGTCCTCTGAAAGAGCTGCAAGCACTTTACCCCATGAGGTACTTCCCTGTTCTGAAACATTGCCCGCCCTGCAGCCCTTCATTCATGTGTGTGGGTGTGTGTGATGTGCAAGTGTGGAGGGAGGCTAGCACAACTTGTTGGAGGGCACAGTGTTGCCCTACCCCATCACATGTCAGCTCATCAAGCTTGGCAGCAATTGCCTTTCCCCACTTGTCTCCTTGCTGTCCTGGGAATTGGACAACTTAAAAACTTCAATTTTTAAAGTTTGAAGCAGGTCTTGCTGTGTAGCTCAAGCTGTTGTGGAATTTCTAGATCTGTGAGTGCTGGGATTAGAGATGTGTAACACTATGCTTGGTTTAATTTATCACATTGTGAACAAATTGTAAGCTTGAAAAACAAAATCTTCCATAGGGAAATAAACACATTTGTAAAAAAGGATGTGTCATTTTGTTAGTAACTTAAAACTGAATAATTTTTATGGATTGTTCAGTACAAAAGTATGCTCCATTTGTCAGGTTGTTTTTAGATACATCCTTACACCGTAGCACCTTAGGTGGCCTGGCTTCACCCTATCTCCCAAGCTGACCTTGAACTGGAGGCTGCCTCAGCCTTTCAGGTTCTGAGATTTCTGGTCTGACTAGCTTTGTGATTCCAACCCCTTTTCTGGGGTATACCCTAAGTTTACATAAAGGAGTAAATTTTTTAAAATTGTTTAAATGAAATTGCTAAGTAGGAAGGCAAATGGAGACAAGACACTTCAGGGGACTGTTTGTGGCTAGGTGTACTTTCATGGATAATAGATCCTGATGCATGCTCTACAAAATTGGGATTAATAAAGATGGGCAACTATCTATTGCTGTAATAAAACACCATGACCAAGGCATCTTACAGAAGGGAAGGGTTCATTTGGGGCGTTTGGTTTCAGCGGTGAATCTACCACTACCATGTCTGAGAAGTCTGGCAACACCACCAGAGAGCTGAGGGTTTACATCTTGAGCCACAGTGTGAGCTGGTGAAGGCCAGAGGTTAAGGTTTTTAAATCTCAAAGCTGGCAGTTGCTGACACACTTCCTACGTGAAAGCCACACCTCCTAAGCCTTCCCAGACAGCCAACAATTGGAATCAAGTATTTAATGGAGCAAACATCTCATTCAGACCACCTCAAGAGTACACATGTATTTTATTTTCGTAACATGCTGTGTTTGAATGGGTATATAATATTCTTACTGGGCATGAGTTGAGCTGATTTTGAAACAGTTCAGTTCCTACATTGGTTGGCCTGATTCATGATCCCTCCATTCCTTTCAGCAACCACAGGAACAAGTTCTGTCTAATTTCTGTTGCTACTGTTTTCCAAATAGGAAGAGTATGACTCCAATGTAATGCAGCGTTACTGTATTTGTCATTTAAATCAGGTGCATGCTTCTGGTGATTGCCATTGTTTGCTGAATGCTTCAAATAGGGAATTAACTGCATTCCCAGTGAAAGGAAACATGGAGATGAAGATGGAATTGTAGCTGCTAGTACAGATTTGTGCTAGGTGTCTGCAAAAGTCCTGAAAAAAGTGTAAGCCTAGAGGAATTTCAAGAAAATTCTCCAAACAGGATGAAGTAATGGGTTTTCTGTGCCTGGGTTTTGAAAAGGCGCTCTGTTCCCATTCTACCCCTCTCATGTTTGCCACTCTCTGTCTTTCACTGTGACTGTGGATGTTGACTTTTCATGGCTGTAATGGAGCTTTAGTGAATCAGTGGGCTTCAAGTTACTGGAGCAGGGGCTGGAGAGGGCTCAGGTTAGGAGAGTCTACTGCTCTTGGCGGAGGGAGGTGTGGGTTGGTTCCTACTGTTCACATGTATTTGTGAACACACAACCATTTGCACACAACCATTTGTAGTTTAGTTTCTAAGTGTCTGATGCCATCACCTGAACTATGTTGGCTCCTGCAAGCTTGTGGGGCACATAAACACATAAAACACAAAATGTTACAGGAGCACGAACAGTTTACCAGTGGCTATTCTGAAGAAATCTCTCCTTCCCTCAGTAACTAATTGCCTACCTGTAAATCCTCAAGGAGGGACACTTCCCTCAGTAACTAATTGCCTACCTGTAAATCCTCAAGGAGGGACAGGGCATCATGAACTTCTTCCCCACTCTGACAGAATATGGTGGGATCCAATCTTGTGCTGGTCAATGGCTAGTATCACTGCTCTAGAGGTGGCTGAGAGAATGGAGCCGATAAAAGACAGTCTGATGCAATAACTATTTAGAGCCCCAGACAATTATGCTCCGAGGCTTAGAATCACATGAGTAAAGTTCTGAGTTCACACTCATTTGTATACACTCAAAAGGATGACTCACGTGAGGCAAAAACATTTTTCCATAGACAAACATTTAATAGAGCAGCAAGCAATAATGAGGGATGCAATACACTTGGGAGGTACACGGACCTATTCCAAGTACAGTTACGTGTCTTGAAGAAACAGGTCACCAAACTCTTGTTTTTTTGGAGTGTTCAGAATTCTGACAAGACTGCATACCTGAACTGTTCCAACAGGTAGGTAATCACAGCTACTAAGAATTGAGTAAAAAGTTCACGTTAGGGAGGAAGATCATGAGTTTGAAGCCAGCTTGCGCTAATTATAATAGGACATCTAACTACAACAAAAAACCAAAACAAAAACCTTGTAAACAGACAACCAAGACTGGCCATGAGATCACTGTTCCATAGGATAGATAGCCTTCACCTCCATTCTGCTTCTGCTTCCTAGCTGCTGGGATTTCAGGCCTGTGCCAGTGTCTAGCTACTAAAAAACAATAAACTTTTGCTTGTAATTGAAAATAAATAGCTGATAGCGTTTGTAGTAAAAAATGAGATCTGGAGAGAGTGCAGCAGTAAAGACAGGAGGACCTGAACTCTTCTCAGCACTCATGTGGTGGCTCATAACCATCCATAAACACAATATCAAAGGGTCCAACAAACATGGATGTATGTAAAACATTGGTACAAAGTCAAATCTTGAGAGATTCTAAAAGGAACTTTTTTGTTGTAGTTTATCTTTGTATGCATTGGTGTGCCTGCCTGTATGAATGTGTGAAGGTGTTGAATGCCTGATCATGGAGTTATAGAGAGTTATAAAGGGACTTGCCAGACCCTAGGGCCCTCACTCTCAAGGACGCACTAGCAAGCCCAAATGACTCAGATAAAGTAACTTACCTGCTCTCCCTGGCACAGCTTCTTCCAACTCAGGTCATCCATGGCTGCTTGCCAGGGATCATGGCTCCCTGCTTGCTTCCTTTGGATGGCAGGATAGAAGTGATTTGAAGGGAGACATGAGAAAAATGGCTGGGCTGGGGTGGTAAGCTTTATTTTGGGAAAGGGTAGGGAGTCAATACAGGTGGAGGGACAAAACATTTGAAAAAGTCATAAGGAAATCATTTTATATTTAAACATGTACAGTGAGTATATATGCATATGTACCATATAGTTTAAGTGAAATTATGCAGATAGAGTGATAATGGTCTCCATAAGAGCCAAAATAAAAACACAAATAATAAAAAAACAGTACCAGGTATGAGAAATGTCCTTTCAAGTTGTTGGTTAGGTGAATTTAAGAGAAACAGTTTTGCTGGTGCCCTTAGTCACCTCTCTGAACTTGAAGGTAAGTCCCTATTAATAGCTGAAGACATCACACATTTAGGACTCAAGGACTTGTGTTGATCTGACCCATAATCCCAACACTCTGAGGGAGCAGTTTCAGTTCAACCTTTGCTAATGTGAGATGTTGCAGCCAAAACATCAACAAAACCCCTGCCAAAGAAAAAAGGAAAATAACACATTCTTTTAGAGTATGCAACCTGGGTTGTTTCTTTTCAGAAATTCTGTGTTACTTTATGCTGAACCTTTCCTAGTTTGAATTTCTTATTCTAGATTACTTAGCATATTTCACTTAAACGTCCATACTTTATTGTTACCAACTAAAATTGTTAGTATTAAGAAAGCATTCCTAACAAAAAATGTATTTAAGATTTTCAAAAGTTTATATCATGTTCTCATGGCATGCCAAATCTTTAGAATTATTTAAATGAGGTTTGGTAAATATATATTTATGGATTGGGTTGTAGTGGGTATAGACACAGAACCAGTATGTTTCACTCTGCTTTCTATTATGTTTTGCTGGGTGCGGGGATAATTTAGTTAGAACTTTTGCTTCTCACTAGCTTTCAAAACTGAAATTAATAGTCGTCTTCAGGCCAGCGAAATGGCTCCGTGGGAAAAGCAGCTTGCTACCAAACTTAAGGTCTCAAGTTCTAGCTCTGGATCCTACACAGTTGAATTGTCCTTTGAATGACTTTCACGAGGCTTCTGTGGCTCGAGCACCTGTGGCGTGGACACAACACAATATGCAAACCAGTATGGATACTGTGGCGCAACATGAGTTATCCCAGTATTTAGCTTACGGCTAGATATTTCCGCAGAATAACCAAACAACCGCAAGTCTGTTAGCAGAATCTTTGTCGAATGCTGAGAAAGCGTGCCACCATTGGGGTAGGGCGTAGAAGGCGACACCTTTCTGGCAAAGGATTGAATGATAAGCTCCAACAGCGGGTACTCTGCATTCTGCGCATGCGCCTCACTGAGACGGCTATTGGTTCTTGCCTTTCCAATCACAAGCGGCGTTCTCCATTCTTGCCCAATGGGGCCAGGCGCCGAGTTCGGGCCCGCGGAGCTTGATAGTTGTTGCAGGAGGCGGAAGCGGCGAACGAGTCCTGGAAGAGCCGTTCGGTCCCTCAGTCTGATCGGGCGGCTGTGCTCGCGCGCCTCGGCGGACGGCGCTTCTGCAGGGCTCCTGGACTCCCTGGAGCCGTGCAATGCAGCGGGAAGGTTAGTGGCGCGGACTCCGCCGGGCCC